CTGGCTCTCTGCTTCTGCTTCTGGCTCTGCTCTAGGACGTAAAGCAGTGTCAGCCGTAAGCAGCTTACTGCCAACAGGTGCGCAAGTAGGTGCCTGTGCAGCAGGCTAAGTATCACCTCATTGCATGTATACAAAGGAGATTAGAATTACACTTCAACACGTCTTTTTACTCGTATTTATAGTATATCTCTCATAAACAGCATATAGTTGGGATCTTCTAAAATCCAATCTGTACTCTTCATTTTTACATTGGATGTAATTACAGTGTTTTCTATTTGTCTTGTTTTTATGTTTCCTTTTCTCCTGTATTACTTTTTTTGGATTAAATATTCTGTATCACTGCATTTCCCCATCTATTAGTATATGAAACTGCTAATAGGAATAAAAACGGGGGAGGTCACACTGAATCCTGACTGCTCTTCTTCAGAAACACCTGGACTTGGTTAAAAATGATGTGTTCTCATCCCAGAAGTACTGTATCATGATGTGGAGCAGGCCAAAGGCAAGACATAGATAATTCTTTTTTTTTATTATTAAGGTATCATTGATATACAATCTTACGAAGGTTTCACATGAGCAACATTGTGGTTACTGCATTCACCCATATTATCAAGTCTCCCCCCACCCAATACCCCATTGCAGTCACTGTCCATCAGCGAAGTAAAATGCTATAGAGTCACTACTTGTCTTCTCTGTGCTGTACTGTCTTCCCCATGATCTATCTATATTGTGAGTGCTAATTATAGTGCCCCTTAATCCCCTTCTCCCTGCCTCCCCACCCTCCTCCCTACCCCTCCCCTTTGGTAACCAGTAGTCCCTCCTTGGAGTCTGTGAGTCTGCTGCTATTTTGTTCCTTCAGTTTTGCTTTGTTCTTATACTCCACAGGTGAGGGAAATCATTTGGTACTTGTGTTTCTCCACCTGGCTTATTTCACTGAGCATAATACCCTCTAGCTCCATCCATGTTGTTGCAAATGGTAGTTTTTGTTTTCTTCTCATGGCTGAATAATATTCCATTGTGTATATGTACCACATCTTCTTTACCCATTCATCTGCTGATAGACACTTGGGTTGCTTCCATTATCTTGGCTATTGTAAACAGTGCTGTGATATACATAGGGATGCATATGTCCTTTTGAATCTGGGATCTTGTTTTCTTTGGGTAAATTCCTAGGAGTGGAATTCTTGGGTCAAATGGTACTTCTCTTTTTAGTTTTTTGAGGAACCTGCATATTGCTTTCCACAATGGTTGAACTAATTCATGTTTGCACCAACAGTTCAGGAGGGTTATCCTTTCTCTGCAACCTCACCAGCATCTGTGTTCCTAGTCTTTTCTGTGTTGGCCATCCTAGCTGGTGTGAGGTGATATCTCATTGTGTGTGATTTTAATTTGCATTTCCCTGATAATTAGTGATGTGGAGCATCTTTTTATGTGCCTGTTGGTCATCTGAATTTTTTCTTTGGAGAAGTGTCTGTTCAGATCCTCTGCCATTTTTTGTTAATCAGGTTATTTACTTTTTGGGTGTTGAGGCATGTAGGTTCTTTATATATTTTAGATGTTAACCCCTTATTGTGTAAGGACATAGGTAATTCTCATGGATAGCCAGCTGAACCATCAATCTAGGCCCTATTTCTTCCTCCACCTTTTTGGGGTAGTACAATAAAATGAGCTGAAGAAATATATATTTGGTCTCCAAGATGACCAAAATATAATTCTCAGGCATATTTGGTCTTCACCCATAGTTTCCTGAAAATGCTTCAGAGACATTAAGGTCAAATGGGTGTCTTGTTAATGTTAGTGGAGAGTCTTTTGCACTCTACCCAAGGGCTGGTTGCCAGAGGCACTGAACACGTGATTCAAGGGTAGAAACTCTCAGTACCTAGTCCCCAACCCTGGGAGGGGAGAGAGCCGAGGGAATCAGACAATGGCCAATGATTTAGTCAGTCATGACCATACAGTGAAGCCCTCTCAAAAACCCATGGGTAGAGCATTTTGCTCAGCTCTCCGTCTCTCTCATTTGCCCCTCTTCCTCTCTCTCTCCCTCCCACTGCCTCCCACCCCCACCATTGTGCTTGCCTTGCCACCTCGTGCCGCCAAGACAAGGCCCCAAGCTCCACAAGGACAGAAGCTCCCATATTTGGGAACTTGCCCTCTATGTATCTTCATCTGGCTGTGAACTTGTATCCTGTATGGTATCCTTTATTAAATTGGTAAACATACATTTTCCTGAGTTCTGTGAGCCGCTCTGGCAAATTAGTCAAATCTAAAGGGGAGGTTGTTGGAACTTCCAATCTGTAGCTAGTTGGTCAAAGCACAGGAAACAGCCTGGGGCTTTGGTCTGGCATCTGAAGTGGGTGGGGTGAGGTGAAGGGCCGTCACCCAGCCTTCGTGAATCTCCGTATCAGTAGGTGTTTCCAAGGGGTGGAGAGTAGTCCATCTCTGTATGGATAGGTGATTACATAGGGGAACGAGGGCATATCTGGGCCCGAGAGGTTGCATGAAGTCCCTTTTTGGAGGTGGGTCATCACAGACACTGGCGAGCAGAAGTGTTGACGGCTTAGGAAAGTATTTCCCCCCCCAGAGTTACAGTCAGTCCTCTTTCTTAGCACTTAGTGCCTTGTGCCATGGGGCCCAGATGTCCTAACCCAGGTTAGACCCGTGCCCATGGGTGTCTTTCTGTCTACACTATGCATAGCCAAGAGGCTCAACCGAGTCAGGCCCACCCCACTACCTGGTGTTTGGTGTCTAGTACCCCAAGGCGAGTAGCCCTAGCATCCCAACTTGGCTTTGTTCTTCATATTGTGTCCTCTGATCCCTGGCAAGGCGTTTTAAGAGGACTGGCAAATCTGTTTCCACTACTTGTTGAGAGCAGTAATGATCTCTAAGAAGCCAAGCAATGTGTGTGTGGAATCTACTCAATCACCATGCAGGCTCGATTCTGTCCTTGTTTGCTGTTTTTGTTTTATTGTAAGTCATTAGCATTACAATAATATTGATGGCATGATGGGCTGCATTTTTTTAAAGTCATATGGCATAGTATGAGCCCTTGTTCCCTGTAGAAAGAGAGGTTACTTTTAAAATTCACCTCAAAAGTCCTAAAGAATGATACAAAAATGCGTACCTACCTCTGAAGAGATGGTTTAATGCTTCCAACCATATCAGAGATAGTTGAAGTTGGCTTATCAATTTTATCAACATTCAAATATGAAAAAAAGAGGAGGATAGAGCAGCAAATAAACAATTTGTACCTTAAGCAAGAAGATATTTGGTACAAAGACCAAAATAAATCAAGGAACATGTAGTCTGTAAACTGGACACACAAAAAATAATATCTTGGTGATATTCCTCCACCAAAAACAATACTAATATTAATCATTTTCAACAGCTATGTCTTGAGTGGAGGCATTTCAGACTTATCATATAACACCTATGTCATTCAACTCATAAAAGCAATATGCAGAGAAAATTTGACACATTTTTCTGTTGTTTTAATGATTCCTCAAAATGGGTTTTTTTGGGGAAAAGAATTCTGAAGGGTTTTTGGGTTTGGTTTTGGTTCCTGAAGGTTTTAGAAACACCTTTTTATTAAAAATCAGACAATGCAGGCACCTTTACTCTGTGCAGTGTCCTTCCTGCCCTGAGAGCCACAGCCCTCATCAGTGGAGCCTGTGTGCCCACAGTCCTGGCACCCACGTGGCTTTATAGTACGGGTCCTGAGCAAAACAGGAGGTACGTGGAAAATGTGACCCAAATATATGAGATAATGGGCAAGAAAGAGAGTGCATGTTCTGCTCTGGCTCTTTCTCTGCAAGCGTCTGCCTCTCCTCACTAGGCAGAAACCTGAAAAGCTTCTGAGGTCTGCTCTGTATCCTGGGCTGGGGACATGTGCCCTCCAGGAGCTGGCTGCTGGCCCACCAGACCCTATCTGTGCTCCCAGAGAGGTAGGTGGCCCAAGGAGCTATCATGGACTCTAGCACCTGCCCTTGAGCATTTCTTAGGGGTGTTTCCAGCCTTTCGCTGTGCTGTTTTACTGTTAGGCGGTGTGAGTGGAGAGCAGAGATGAACCAGCATCCCATCCTCTTTCTGTTGCCAAGATTTCTTTTTGGTCTGGCGCTTACACACGTTATGTCCCAGAGGTGCAGGCTTCCTGGATAATGAGAGCTCAGTGATCATCCTGCCCTGCATGGGACTCCCCCAGAGAGGCCCCAGGTGGCCCCTGCAGCTGCCTGGGTAGCTCTGTTGGTCCAGAGAAGAGGCTTGCAGCAGCAGGGAAGCTTCCCTCTTTGAGGGGATACCAGTGAGGGACCAGTGAAAGGAAGAAGGAATGGGATGAACCTCCCACCCCTTGGCCATGGGGCCTGAGGGAGGAGAATCAGGGGAAATTTGAGCATCACCCTTGGGGAGCTCACAAATAAATAGCTATCAAATAAAATGGAAAGAGCCTCCTGGGAATTTCATTTCCAGGTATCTCCAGACACATTTCAAGGGAATTTTTTAAGACTGTGCCCTTTGCTCAGGCCTGTTCAGTGCTGGGTTTAACCAGGTTTCTGTCTCTCAAACAGAGCTGGAACCACAGTGAAGAGAGGGTCAGATAACAACAGCACCACAGTTGACAGTACACACTTTCACTTCTATTATTATCTCATTTGAACCTTACTCCAACCCTTTGAGGTAGGCTGGGCAGGTGTTATTATCCCCATTGGAGAGATGAAGCACCAAGACTTAGAAAAAAACCTACCCACGGCAGGAAGTAGCCCATGGGCCCCGGAGCCCGGTCTCCTGCTTTGGCCCTCCTGCCCCTGTTCCATTGCCACCTCTAACTCATGTTTGGGAAATGAGTTGCTGCCTGTGGTCAAATACACCTGGAAAGAATAATGTATCACTTCTCAAACCATCCAGAAGATGGGCAAAGTGGGAAGGCGAAAGGCCTACACGTGAGCTCCTGGAAAAGCCGAAAATGTCCAAGCGCACGAATGAACACAGTTGAACCAAAACAGTTCTCTGGAGAAATCTTTGAAATCTTTGACCAGTTTGAGTTCTAACTGCAGTGAAATCCACGGGGATGCTTACATTGAATATTTTAACACAACAACATTTTGTTAAATACATCTTAGGGAGGGGATGGGGGGTGGTTAGAAAGAGGGAAAAAAAGGCAGGATGTGGGGGCCCTGTGGCTCCCGTAGGCCACAGCGATGGTGGGGGGAGCATTTCCGGCTTCCAGCAGCCCTTGGAGCGCACTGCGCCCCGGGAGCTACGTGGGCTTCAAACTAATGGCCCTGCTGCCCGTTGGGAATGAGGTTCCTGCGGGCACCAAGGCCGTTCTTCAAAGAGTCTCTGCCTTTGCCTTCGGCGGCCTCTTCCTTTCCTTCCTCCTCTTCCTCTTCATCCTCACCGTCACTCCTCACATCCTGGATGTCCTGAACAAAGGGAAGAATGGACTGCGAATGACAACCTTCCAGGAAAAGTCTTGAGTGAATAAGCAAACAAATGGGCCCAGTTTAGAGATAGGGCCCCTTTCAAAGAAAACCCAATAGTCAAGCAAACAAACATTTATCAAGACGGAACATATCATGGGCCATAAAACAAAACTGAACAAACTTCAAATCATGCAAAGTATGTGTTTCAGGTCATAATGGAGTTAAGCTAGAAGTCAATAACCAAAAAATAATAGGATAATCTCAAAACCCTTGGAAATTAAACACATAAATAATCAATAGATCAAAGAGTAAGTCTAAGGGATATTAAAAAAGATTTTGAACTAAAATGAAAATGTAATATTTGAAATTTGTTGAATGTAGCTAAGACAGTGCTTGCAAGGAACTTTATAGCATTAAATGTTTATAGTAGAAAAAAATGAAAATCTCAAATAACTTGAGCTCCCACCTCAAGAAGCTAGAAAAAAGAAGAGCATAAGCCCCACACAAGCAAAAGGAAGGAAAAAAATGAAGAAATCAGTGAAACTGGTAACAGAAAAAGAATAGGAAAAAAATACAAACAAAATCTGGTTCTTTGAAAAGATCCATGAAATTGATAAATCACTAGTAAGATTAACAAATTAAAACTGAGGGAAGACACAAATTACCAGAATATAAAAAGGGGATATAACCATTCATGCTGCAGGTGATACAAAAATATTAACAGAATACTACAAACAACTCTATGTATATATATTTGACAACTCAGATGAAATGGACCAATTCCTCAAAATCAAAACCTACAAACTACCAAATTTCATCCAAGATGACATAAGTAACCTGAATAATCATGTAGCTATGAAAGAAATTTTGTAGTTAAAATCTTCTTTAAAAGAATATCATCAGGACTAGATTGTTTCACTGACAAATTCTATGAAACATATAGAAGAACTAATACCAAATTTCTACAATCTGGTACAGAAAACAGATGCGGGAATACTTCCCAATTTATTTTATGAGCCCAGAATTACCTGATACCAAAACTAAAGAAAGTATAAAGAAAAAAAAACAACTACAGGCCAATGTCTCTAATGAACATAAACATAAAAATCCTCAACAAAATATTCCAAATCAAACCAGCAATATATAAAAATAATATATCACAATGATGTGGGATTTGTCCCAATAATAAAAGGCTAGTTCAATATTTGGTAATCAATGAATATCCATAAATTAATCATCTAAAGAAGGAAAAAATAGATGATTTATCAATTGATGTAGGAAAATCATGACAAAATTCAACATCCTTTCATGATAAAAAGTTAAAGCTTCTCAGCAAAGAAGGAATAGAAACTAACATCAGACTTAATGATAATAACTGAATTTTTCTCCCTAAGATTAGGAACAAGTCAAGGATGTCCACTTTCACTACTCCTATTCAATATTACATTAGAAGTCCTAGTTAATGTAATAAGGCAAGAAAAAGAAATAAAGGACATACAAATTGTAAAGAAATAAAAGTGTCCCTATTTGCAGATGACATGATTATCTATGTAGAGAATCCCAAAGACTCTACCAAAAAACTCCTAGAATTAATAAATGAGTTTAGCAGTAAAGGCTGCAGGATACAAGGTCAGCATACAAAATCACACACACACACTCACACACAATCTTGATTTTAAACACTAACATAGTAGGCTGAAAGATGTGCTCAAAGATACTAGGTCCTAATCTCTGGGACCTGTGAATATTAACTGATATGGTAAAATTTTTGCTGATATGATTCAGTTAAGGATCTTCAGGAGATTTTCCTGGATTATCCAGGTGAGGCCTAAATACTATCACAAGTGTCTTTTAAGAGAGGCACATGGAAATTCAGAGGGGAGGCAATATGAAGACAGAGGTAGATACTGGAGTAATGCAGCTACGAACAGTGAATGCAGGCAGACACCAGAAGTTGGAAAAGTGGAAGAACAGGTTCTCCCCTGAAGCCTCTGCAGGTAGTGCAGCCCTGCCACACCTTAATTTTGGTTCAAAACTGATTATAGACTTCTAGCCTCCAGAACTGTAATAGAATAAATTTCTGTTGTTTTAAGCCACCAAGTTTGTGGTAATTTGTTACCACCATGACAGGAAACTAACATGACTATCAATGTCCAAAAAAAAACTGAAATTTAAAAATCAGTAACAGTTACAATAGTTTCAAAAAGTAAAATAATAAGGTACAGACCAAACAAAGCATGCATAGGATATCTGTGTAAAACTTACAAAACTCTGATGAAAGAAATCAAAGATCTAAATAATTGGAGAGACATATTATGTTCATGAGTTGGAAGATTCAACAGAGTAAAAAATGTTAATTATCCAAATTGATCTATATTCCAAACAATACCAATTAAAATCTCAGCAAGATTTCTTATAGATACAGACAGCTAATTCTAAAATTTATATGGAAAGGCAAAGGAACTAGAACAGCTAAAGCAATTCTGAAAAAGAAGATAAAATTGGAGAGCTCAAATCACCCAATTTTAAGAGCTACTTTAAAGTTTCAGCAGTCAAGACTGGGTGCTATTTGCAAAGGGGTAAACACATAGCTCAATGGAATAGAATAGAGAATCTAGAAATAAACCCAAACAAATATGGCTAATTGAGTTTTGACAAAGGCACAAAAGCAATTCAATGAAGGAAGTATAGTCTTTTCAACAAATGGTGTTGGAACAGTTGGCAAAAAAATAAACTTGGACCTGATGTCATGACTTATACAAAAGTCAACTCAAATTGGATCACAGATCTAAATTAAAACTATATAACTTTCCAAAGAAAATCCATGACCTTGGGTTGGGTGATGATTTCTTAGACATGGCACAAAAATGCATACTCCATTAAAAAAATTGATAAACTGGACTTCACCAAAGTTAAAAACTTTTGTTCTCTGAAAGACACTATTTAGAGAATAAAAAGAAAAGCTGCAAACTGGGAGATAATATTTTCAAATCCCATATCCAAATGCATGCTTAATAAAGAATTTTCAAAATCAACAATAAGAAAAAAATCAGTTAAAGTGGGCAAAAGATATAAAAATAGACACTTCAAGGAGGATACATGAAATGTCTTATAAACACATGAAAAGGTGCTTAATATCATTAGCCATTAGGAAAGTGTGATGAGATACAACTAAAAGCCCATTAGAATAGTTAAAATAAAAAACACTGACAGTACCAAGTGCTGACAAGGCTGCAGAATAACTGGAAGGAATTCATACATTGTTGATGGAAATGCATAATACTACAGACACTATGGAAAACAGTCTGACAGTTAAAAAGTAAAACATATATTTACTGTATGTCTCAGCAATCCCACCCCTATCTACCCTAGAGAAATAAATGTTATGGTCACACAAAAACAAATGTGTTTAACAGCTCTATTCATGTTTACCCCCAAATGGAAGCAACCCAAATGTTTTCAACTAGTAAATGGATAAACTATGGTATATCCATACAATTAAATACTACTTACCAATAAAAAGGAATAAACTATCCACATTCATAAGAAGTTGAATGAATCTCAAAGGCATAATTTTGAGTGAAAAAAATTTAGTTTCAAAAGATTACCTACTATATGACATATTAATGTCATTTATATGATATTCTTGGAAAGACAAAACTATAGGATGGAGAAGAGATGAGTGGCTGCCAGGAAGTAGGGTCGGGAAAGGAATCACTTGGGTAATGGAGTTGTTCTGTATCTTGATTATGCTGATGGATACATAAATCTATGCTTGTGTTAAAATTCATAGAACTACATACCAATAGAAAAAAGTCGATTTTACTGATGATGTTTAAAAATAAAAAAAGTACTTCTTTTTAGAAAGCAAACACTATGTAAACATTTGCTAAGTAAAGTATTACTCATGGGCATTTTGGTTGTCAAAAGATATTTTTACTATTTGCCATTAGAATGTTTTCTATTTTCTTTAGAAAGGGATGCCTTCCATGACAGCTCTTAACTGAGAGGGATGCTTCTCTCCTCTCATGGTGTTCTGGAAGGAATTCTGTGAGGAAAAGTCCCAGAAGAATAACACTGCCCCCGAGGAAGGGAGACGGAATTGCTACAGACCGGACTTGTTTGCAAAAGAAAAACAACGGCATGAATTATTAAAACAATACTGAGAACTCAAGCTCTGGGCAAGGCAGTGTTGGAAATGACCCCTCACCCTCCGAGCCAGTTTGCAATCATGTCTATTAAACCCAGACTAGAAAAGAAAATAAAAAAGAAAGGTGGAGGCTATTTACTCTCACATCATTTTTCAAGATGACATCCGTAACCATACAAGTTCCATTTTCCTTTCGTGACCTGCAGACTAAAGCTGACCACCTCCAGAGATTCTCAGGGTATATGTAACCGAATACCTCCTCTGTGGACAACCTTCATGCAAATGTGGCTTTTGAAAAAAAAACCAATGTGCACATATTTTGCTGGCTTACTCACAGAAATATAACTTGATGGGCTCTTCTCTGTACATTCTGCTCCTTTCCACAACAACCCAATAAAGGTTTCAAAATAAACAAGGCTTGCTATAAACATTACGGAATAAACTTGGCATCTCATCAGTTAAGATGCAACAGCGAAGGGCAACCGTTTTATATGTTGGGAGCTGGGATCAGAAGTGCTCCTCCTACAACACCCTCTGCGGATGGAGTCTGTCAGGAAAGGGCCAGGCGTGGCTAACATTGACTTTCATGGATGGGCCTCCTTTCCCTTCCTCAAAAGATTTTTGTAGGGAACAAGAGAAATTTGAATCAGAACAAAGAAAATAATTTGTCTCCAGAAAAGCAGACTAGCTCTTCTTGCCCATTTCTCCAGGACGTGAAGACTTGCTTTAGCTGAGAAATACACTAGTTCTTGAGGATACTCTCCACGGCTCTAATCTGCATCCTCTAGAATCCAGTCCTGGATCATAAGGGGCTTTTTGGAAACGTATGGCATCCCAAAGGTTGGGAAGC